GTGAGTGAGAATCATGATGTTAGCAAATAAGAAAAAAGAGCAGAACCATCCAGCCTTTCTAAAGAACACTTGACATCATTTAATCATTATAACAGAAATACAAATTGAGATTTTATTGGTGATGCAACCCAATATAGGCAGCAAAAACCTTGATATTATGTACTGTATGAATACATGAAGTGTATCATTGTGTAATTAATTATATAGACACATATTAATCCCGAATAGGTAAAAGCTGGATTTTTCGTTAATTTTGGAATCCTGCCCAATTAAGAAATTAATTGGACAGGTCATTTTCAATTGGGTTTTTTTAAAAAAATTTAAAAATTATGTATGATTATTGACAAAATGTTGTAACACTGATTTGTTACTGATATAAATAAAAGTTAATTTTTGTTAAAAATGAAGRTGTCATTACTGTTATTGTTAAAAGCTGTGGTTGGCTTTTACCTATTTGGGATCAATATGTGGCTATATAATTAATAGGTAATAAGACTCCATGCTGTCCAATTAAGAAATAATTAGACTCGAAAAATTCCTGACTGCCAAATTGGACTCGGCCACGGCCTCGTCCAATTTTTGGCAGTCCTCGGAATTTTCCTCGTCCAATTATTTCTTAATTGGACAGCATGGAGTCCTATTACATATAAAAATAGGAATATGGCAGAATATGATTCTATCACATAGCCATATAACCAAGGTTTTTCATCCCAAAATTCCAGGATTATTCAAGTGCTTATAAAGCACAAAAATTCCACTTGCAAAGGATATTTTTTAAATTTTGTATCTAGACGTTTTTTAACCTTTACATTTGAAAATTCCTGAATCCTCATTTCGATAAAAAGAAGAAAAGTGGGAAAAAGAAAAACCTTTAGTACTTTATGCCCCATGGCCCAAACCTCTTGTACAGTCAAGAGTTAAAACTATATTAGGGAGGTTTTAGATTCATGTATACTTTGAGCACCAAAGGTCAAAACTAAGCACACAAAACTGCTTTTCTGTATTGACGCTCACATCATTTTTCTTTTCAAAGTATTTTCAGTTTACTTGAATTTTTTTAAGAACCATTAAAGCCCAATGCGACCTTTGGCGTTCACCATAAATGTTAATCTAAATCTCTCTATTTACTGTCATCTACTTCTAGTCAAGCACTTCTCATGGTAACCAGAAGACTTCCTTACATCACCAGTACAGCTGAGATAATTAGTCTCTTTACTGGTAATTTCATATTAAGATCATGCAACTTAACAATTTCAGATTTTTTCTGTACCTCATTGATTTCACAGTATG